GGAGACCCCCCTCGCTCAAGCTGGGGGAGCGTGGAGAAAGGGGGGCAGCGTGGATTTGGGGGGATGGGATGGTTTTTTGGGGGGGTGGGGGTTATGGCCAGGTTGGGGGAGCCTCGAGAAGGGAAGGGGGAGCGTGGTTTGGGGGTTCCCCCAGTTGGGGGAGATCCCTCGGGTTGGGAGAGACACCCCCCTTTCCCCCCCGGGTTGAGAGAGATGGGGGGGGAGCGTGATTTGGGGAGCCCCCCGAGGCTGGGGTAGCCCGGAGAAAGCGGGGGGGCTATGCCTGGTTTGGAGGGGGGGTCCCCAGGCTGGGGGAGCCCTGAGAAAAGGGGGGGGCTGCCTGGTTCTGGTGGGGGAGAAGCCTGGTTTGGAGGGGGGCACCCAGAGAGAGGGGGAGATGCCTGGAGTGGTGGGGAAGGGGTGTTCTGGTGGGTCACCCCCCCTTGCGTGGGAGCCCTGAGTCAGGGGGAGCCTGTTTTTTTTTTTGGGGGGGGGTCGTCCCCAAACCGGGACAGTCCTGAGTGGGGGGGATCCTGGGGAGGGGGCACCCCCAGGCTGAGGGAGCCTGGAAGAGGTGGAGGGGATGCCTGGCTTGGGGGGGACCCCCAGGCTGGGGGAGCTCAGAGACAGAGGGGATGCCTGGAGCAGCGGGGGGGTCGTTCTGGTGGGTCAGACCCCTTAAGGGAGAGCCCTGAGTGGGGGGGTCAGGCTGGGGGGACACCCCCTGTTGTATCCTCTCCGCAGGGGAGCCGGGGGTCTCTCTGGTTTTGGGGGGGCATCTCTGTTCTATGGGGGGCACTTGTACTGGGGGGAGGCATTTTTGGCCCCCCCGTCCAAGAGGATGCAGCCCCCCCCTCCCTCTTTTCTCTGCTGCAGTGCGAGGAAAGGGGGGGTCCTGTGGACCCCCAGCCCTGTGGGCACAGGTGACAAGGTGGGAAGGTGACATCAGGGGACATCCCTGTTTGAGGGGGGGGGATCCCCATCCCGGGCAGGGTGCAATCCATCACACCCACGAGGTCCGAGCCCCCCCAGACTGGGGTGCTGAGCCCCTCCTCGGGGTGGGATGGGGGGGTTGCAGAGCCCACCCTGCGCTCATCCCGCCGGCTCCCGGTGTCTTTCCTCCCCCAAATCCCCGCTCCCTGCTCGGATGCCCCGCGGGCGGTGCCAGCTGGCCCCCTCTCCGGCCCCGTTATAGTAGGTACTATTTTGGAAAGAGCAGAAGACACCGAAGCAGTTAACGAGGAGAGAAATACGTTATGGGAGAAACTCCTGGATCGGGAGGAGGAGGAGGAGGAGGCTGGGGGGGATGCACATTTCGCTGCCCTAATTGATCCGGTGCCATCCATGTCCCCGGGAACATCCACTGGGTGCCTCAACTTTTGCCGAGAGGCTCCAAGTTACACAATCACCCCGTTATTAAACCTCCCCCCCCTCCACGGCTTCGGTCATTCCAGGCTGCTGGAAGCAGCAGATTTCCCAGGAAGGGTTGTAATCCACGGCCCTGGAGGTGTCCCCACCACGCTGCCATCCCTCCCTTCCCCTCTGGATGCATCCAGGCGATTTCTTTCCATTTTTTTTATTTTTTTTTTTTCCTTTTTAGCCTGTCATGTGGCCGATCACATGTTTAATGTTAATAACCTCAAACCCAGGGAAAGGGGATCCGGGTGGCAGCCGGAGCGTGGAGGCCCCTCGGGCCCTGGTTGGGGGTGGTGGTGGGGGTGAAGCTCCCAGGGGTTTGGTTTTGGGTTTTTATTTTTCAGTGGGAATAATGCCAGAGCACTCCTGGATTTGGGGAGGGGTCCAGGGGAGGGGGTGTGTGGTGGTTTGTAGGTCTCCCGAGTGGCCGGTGCTGCCCGTAAATCTCCTGCTAAATCCCAGGCAGCTGCCTGTGTTTAGGTTGGCCTTGTTCGGGAAAGGTAATGTCAATGCAGCCATTATGATTCAGCTGAGTCGGCCGTATCCATGCGCTCTCCCTGCCTGCCGGGGCTTCCAGATCCCGGGAATCCCTGGCAGGGATCCTGCCTGCTTGGCAACAGCCCCCCCCACCCCCTCCAGTATCCATATGATCCCGCTAATTGTGGTCATTAATCCATATCCAAGCAGGGGGGAGGCTCACGGCCTGCTCGCTCCGTGCTCCAACACTCCAAAATCCACGTGAAATTCCCATATTATCCCCCCCCCCCCAGGATAATTTTCCAGCTGGGGAGGGAAAATCGGAATATCTCCTTCCGAGGGCCGGGATTTATTGTTTGAAGGTGGTGACGTTGTCCGTGGTTATTAATAATTAAAA